ATTTATGATTTCTTAATCATGACTCTACCCATCCATTCTCTAATCTGCGCTCCTTCCTACTCCCTTTCCTTCCCTGTTAACCCTCTGCAGTTGTTTCTGATCTGATACATATTTTTTTGATATGTGTATTTTTGATGGACTCAGTTTAATTGGTGATACTTTTAAAATCCTGGAATTAGCCTTATCTCTAAGAGGTTCACATGAAGATAATCCAACAGAGTATGGAACTATCACATGTAAGTGAAGTCTTGTTGAAGATTGTTAAAAAATGACTGCAAGTACATCAGCAAGGAACTGCTAGAAAGTAAAGCTGGATTCAGAAGAGCCATGGCATGAGGAAGAAATATCATTGTTGTCGGAGATTTTGACTAAAACAGAAATAGAAGAAAGATACATGCTTATGTTTTATTGACTATGCAAAAGCATTTGATTGTGTAGATTATAACAAATTACAGATAACATTGAGAAGAATGAGAATATCGGAACACTTAATTTGTGCTCTTTTGAACCTATACATAGTCCAAGAAGCAGTTGTCTAAAACAGAATGTTAAGGGAACACTGCATAAATCATTTAAGTAGCTGAAGACTCTATGAAGATGAATGTAGCATTGAGATTGGTGGAAAACTCATTAGCCTGCATTATATCGATGGCACAAGCTTGCTTGCAGAAAATGAAGAAGACTTGAAGCAATTTTTGAAGAAGATAAAAGACTACAGCCTTCAATATTAATTACATCTCAACATTAAGAAAACAGAAGTCTTCACCACTGGACCGACAGTCAACATCATTATAGATGGAGAAAAGATTGAAGTTGTCCAGGATTTTGTTTTATATAAATCTACAATCAACGCCCATTGTAGCACTAGTAAAGAAATCATGTGTTGCTATCAAGGACTTCTCTGAGGTTCTAAAGAGCAGGGATAGTAGTTTGCAAGCCATGGTATTTCAATCTGCTTTTTGTCCATCTGAACTTCGAACAATGAATAAGGAAGACCCAGGAAGAACCAGTCTCTTTAAATTGGCAAGAGTTTTGACTATACCATAGACTGCCAAAAAATAAAAATCTGTTTTGGAGGAAGTATAACCAGGGTATTCCTTAGAGGCACATGAATTGTCTCATATACTTTGGGCATGTTTTTAGAAGGGGCTAGTTTGTGGACATCATCTAGACATTATGCTTGGGTCAAAAAAAGAGAGGAAGACAGAGATAAGTTGACACAGTGTCTACCACAGTGGACTTGAGCTTGACAGAGATCATGAGGTTGGTTCAGCATAAGGAAAGATAATGATCTCCTGTCATTTGGTTACTATGAGTTGTAGTTGATTGGATGACATCTAACAGCAATTAAGACATTCTGAATTTGGACTTCTAGCCTCACTGCACTCCGATGGACACATGGTTCAATCAACCAGCTGCTCTATGGAAAAAGGATGGGCAATCTCTTGTGTGATTAAACTGTCTCAGCAAACCCACTGAAGTGTCAGCTACGAGTCAATTCCAACTTGACAGCACACAGCAACAAGTTGTGAGAAGATAAATTATGTGAAAAATCATCTGTTGCAGCATCTCTTGTTAATAACAGCACTAAATAATCAAAGACACTTATTCATTCTAATTCTGGGCATGGAGACCAATGTTCTGTGCTTTTTCAAGCCCTCTAGGTAATTTGGATTATATGATAGAGTTCCCAGTATCTCTGCAGCCAAAACCATACTCTTATACCATGGATAGACTGTGAGTGTCGCATGGTCCTGATCTCCTCAATGGTTTGCAGTAGCTTTGACTTCAAGGAATCTCTGTTTACTACAATGTCCACTACAACTAAATTCTCTGTGTATGTGTGAGATGTAACTGGAAGTGATGCTGTAGTTTGTATTTCTCCATTAAGAGATTCCTTAGCTCAGAAACATTTAGGAGCATATTTTAATCCTTAGATTTATACCTCTTACTAGTGTAGGTTTCTGTAATATCTCAGAAATGGTGGTGTGGTCGCTAGCTCTCTAACTGCAGATATATGACCTTGCAAATCAGCATGGATTTGAGAAAGAGTGTGTTTATACACATGGTACAGCAAGACTTTGAGACAAACAAGTGGCAAGGCTTGAGGGAGATTAGAGCAGACCCTGTTATCAAGACTCTCGTGATGGTTTTGGAAAGACTTTGGCATTGCTGTGGAAAAACTGCGGCAAGGTGTGAGCAGAGGATCTCTGAGGTAAAGGCCACAGTTAAAGCTGTTTGCTGTTTTTGCTGGATGTTTGAAGGAGAAGCTGACTTTTAACTTGTTGGATGCTGGTTTGCTTGGAGGCAAAACTTGCTGTATGATTTACACGTGACTGCTGAACTGAAACCAGTGCCTGGACTAATTGAGGAATTGTGCCTTGGAATGTAGGCTAAAACCTGGACTTGTTTTGGATAATAATTCTTTGCCTCCCCACTGTCCCAACTTCTTTCCATAATAAACCCTATTGTTGGTACCATAACTGTGAGTCAACAATGAATAAACAAACCTCTTGCTGTTGGTGTGGCTTTAGCAGCACCACGGGGCTGGGTTACAGGTTCTTTATCTGCTTTCTAACCTGAGGCAATCTTAACTCCTTTTGGCCCTTTCAGAGAGACACTCATGGCCCTGTTCTGCCTCTGTGTCCTCTTTGCTTCTCTTTAGACAGCTGTCCTTTTGTTTGGTCTTACTTGGATCTTTTTTTTTTAAACTAAATTATGCTAGATAAAGCCATAAAATGCATGCATTATTTTTACCTTTTTATTTCATAGGGTGTTCCAATTAGACTTGAAGTTGGGCCACGTGATATGAAGAGCTGTCAGTTTGTAGCTGTGAGACGAGATACTGGAGAAAAGATAACAGTCACTGAAAAGGAGGCTGAGACGAAGCTTCAAGCTATTTTGGAAGACATTCAAGATAATCTTTATACAAGGTTGGCTCCTCAGAATTGTCTGTTTTCCTCAAATCTTGGTCAGCCTTTGAAATCTATACCATTGCATTCTTTGACTGGTCCACTGAAAGTAATGTCCCCTCTCTTAGCTCCCTTAGTACTTCACTGACCTGTTTTTGGCTTTTGGCTTGTGCAAATATCATAGCTGAATGTTTCTTTATGTACACTGGCAGCATACACCACCTACTTGCTTATGGTTCAGTTTCTTTAAAGGAAAGCAGCTCTCCTTTTGCTTATTTTTTGGTGCTGTTAAAATGTTAACTGAAAGGTTGGCCAGTCAAAATCGACTAGCCACTCTGGGAGAAAGATTGTGGTAGCTTTCTGTAAAGATTTACAGCCTCAGAAACCCAATGAAAGCCCACTGTGGGTTGGAATCAACTTGAGGCGTGGGTTGGGTTTTGCTTTTGTAAAGTTTTATAAGAGCCCTGACGATGTAGTGCCTAACTGCTAACTGAAAGATTAGCAGATCACATCCACCAGATGTGGGCAAATCCTCTCATTTGTATTATGACACCTCTGTCTAACCCACATCGGGAGCAGTGTAATTCAGTGGTAGATCACTTACCTTCTGTGCAGGAGATTTCAGGTTCAGTTCCTGACAGTACACCTCAAGCCTCTCCACCACATGCCTGTCAGTGGAGATTTGTGTGTTGCTATGATGCTGAACAGTTTTCAGAAGGGGCTGCTAGACAAAAAAAAAAGAGCAAGAAAGACCTGGAAATCTGTCAAGAAATCAGCAGTGAAGACATTGACAAATCCTAACAATAGATCTGCAGTTAATTGCAAGGCTTGAATAGGCCTGGGCATCATTTCATTCTTTCACCAGGGCCTGACTCTATACCACCTCACATTAACAACAACTCACATTAAACCTCCGTCTGTTTTGCCTTGGAAGGAATGAACTAACTTAGGTTTTGATTTTGTTATTAACTTTTTTTTTAGGCAAATGATTTTGTTTTACTCGCTCTGAAATGAGACTGATAATAAGTATCTTGAAGGGTTATTTCTAAGGTTTACCTGTTACACAACTGAAATACTGTATATCGAGTTTATTTGAACTCATTTTAGAGATGGAATATTAGAAAGCCACTCATCTCTCATTGCCAGCCTTCAAATAGTGCATTTGTGCAGTGGCTGCCTTCTAAGTTGTCTTCCTGTAGTCACCTGGGAGCTCTGTGACTACACACATACCTGGGCCTTACACTAGAGATTTTGATTCATTAGGTTTAAGATTGTTGTTTTGTTTGTACCCCTGAATGTGAACTGACGTAGTGGGGTTTACAGAACCAGTAAATCACATGGGAAGAAATTGTCCCATCTTTCTCCCACAGAGCACAGTGCCTTTATCACTGAGCTACCTATCTGTGGTATTAAAATGCTGTATGTACACGTCTGTAGTTGCTAAACCTTTGTTGTTAGATGCCATCAAGTCAAGTACTTCTAATAGCAAACCTATGAACAGGTTGAGCCTTGCCCTATTCTGCATTGTCCTTATAATCTCTGATGTGCTCTAGACCATTGTCACAGTCACTTTGTCAGGCCATCTTGGGGGAGGTCTCACTCTCTTCCTATGACCTTCCACCAAAGTGGCTCCTACTGGCAACATACTCAAAATATATAAACAAAGTGTCACCATCTTTCCCTCTGTGGGGCACTCCGGTTGCACTTCCTCGAAGACAGATTTGTTTGTTCTTTTAGCAGTCTATGGAATATTCTGTATTAAACCTCAAAAGCATTGATTCTTCTCTCATCCTTATTCACTGCCAAATTCACTGCCAAAGTTTAAAATGCATAGGAAGTAATTGAAAGGACTGTAGCTTGGATATTTTAAAAATTATTTTATATTGGTTTGCATGTACAATTCATATACATTTTATTTCACAATTCACGTTATGTTTCATATGGTCATTCCCATACATTGTATTTTATAAAATTAATCACTGTTGATCCATGCTCACCATTAAACTGCCTTTTCAGGTCCCCACTGGATCTGTCCCAATTCCAATTCCTTCAGCCTCTCCCTCTGTCCATCAAACTCTGTTACCTTGGAATTTCTTACCCTCCCCCGTGCTCAGACCCCTTCTCCCTCAGCCCTTTAGACTTTTGTACACATCTTACTAGTTATCTTTCTGTTTCTGTAATAACCTTACGCAGTATTTGTTAGTTTACTCAGCACAGTGCCTTCCCAAGTTATGTAATAATTTTTGAAATTGTTGTTCCTGAGTGCTGCCTAGTATTCTATGTGTGAATATAACACAATTTCTCAACCCATTCGATTGTGGTTGGACATTTGGGCTGTTTCTATGTTCTTGCTATTGTGAACAATACTGTTATGGACATTGGTGTACAAATCCCTGATTGTTTCTCAGTTTCCTTGGGATATATTCCTAGCAGTGTAATAGGTGGGCCATGGAATTTCTGTGTTCAGCTTTGTGAGGAAACTCCAAAAATGCCTACTAGAGTAGTCTTACCATTTTATAATCCCACCAACAACAGTGTATGAGAGTTCTAATCTCTCCACACCCTCTCCAACTTTTATTTATTGCTTACTGTCTTTTGCCACTGCTACTGGGATGACATTATATCTCATTGTACTTTTGATTTGCATCTCTCTTCTTGACAGTGATTTTTTTTAAATTTTATATTGATTTGCATATAAAATTCTTATACATGTTTCAGTCATATACATTGTGGGTCTTTTATGTTTGTTTTATATTTTATTCTGATTTATTTAAAAAGTTTGAATACGTTATTTTTCACAGAAGATCCTTCCTATTTCCTTCATCCTACCCACTCCTCAAACTTTGCACCCCTCTAATTAACACCCTTCCCCTCCATCCTCACCTCTCCATTTCCACCCTCCCTCCTGCCTTGGATCCTCATACTCATTCTATAATAATGGTTTTATACAGTATTTGTCCTTGTGGGACTGAGTTAGTTCACTCAGCAAATGCTCTTCAGTCTCTCCCAAGTTAGATAGTAACTTACAAAATGATTTCTCCTGCTTGCTGTGTAGTATTCCATTGTATCGATGTACCACAACTTCTCAATCCATTCATTTGTAGTTTTGCCAGTGATTTTGAGCATTTCTTCATGTGTCTGTTGGCCATTTTAATGTCTTTCTCTGTGAAAAGTTTTTCCCATGCCTTTTCCCCCCACTTTGCAATTCGGTTATCAGACTTTCTTGTGGAAGCCCTATAGTATTCTGTAAACTTTCATTATGAGACTTTGCTCTGAGATGTCATTGCCAAATGTTTTTTCCCACTCAGTAGGTTTTCTTTCACCTTACTGGAAAACATGTTTGATGCACACAGGGACTTAATCTTTAGAAGGTCCCAGTCCCATTCATCAATTTTATCCTCTCCTGGTTGTATATTTCTGACTGCATTTGCTAGCCTCTTTATACCATAGACTCAGTCTTCCAAATTTGATCCCATTTTGTCTTTTATGATCTTTATGGTTTTGGGCTTTACCCCTATAAGTCTCTAACCCATCTTGAGTTGATTTTTGTGTTTATTGTGAGATATGAATTCTACTTCAGCTTTCTTCAGTTAGAAGTCCAGGTTGCCAGCATCAGTTGTTCAAGAAGTTGTCTTTTCCCGATTTGACAAGCTTTCTTTGTTAAACACCAGCTGACTGTACGTTGGTAAATTAGTAATTTCTGGGTTATCAGTTCTGTTCCATTGGTCTCTGTGTCTGTTATTGTACCAGTATATGCTGTTTTGGTTATTACAACTGTGTAGTAGGTTTTGAAACTAGGGAGTGCTCTGCCTCCCACTTCATTCTTGCTTTTCAAAAGTGCTTTGCTTGTTCATGGTCTCTTTCCTTTGAAAATACACTTGCCAATTTCCTTTTCTATCTCTTTGAAAAAGGAATTTGGTGTCTGTATTGGAATTGCATTAAAAATGTAGATTGGTTTCGGTACGATTGCAGTTTTCACTATATTGAGTCTTCCTATCCATGGCCAGCGCACATTTTCCCATTTATTTAGGTCTCTTATGTTTCTTGCAGTAGAGTTTTGTGATTTTCTTTATAAAGGTCTTTGTGTCTCCAGTTAGGTTTATTCCCAAGTATCTCAATTTGTGGTTGGCTCTTATAAATGGTATTACTTTTTAAGTTTCTCTCTTTTGGGGGAGGGGGGGCGGTGGCTCTTTTTTTACTGTTAAGAAATCTCACTAAGTTTTTTACATTGATCTTGTATCCTGCCACTCTACTAAAGTGATCTACTAGGTCTAACCATTTTCGTCTGCATATAACTACGGTTTTACCACCTCTTTTCCGATCTAGATGCCTCTCCTTTTGTTCTCTTGTATTTCCCTATCAAGTACTTACAATAAAGTATTATAGAGGAGTGGGGACCATGGGCATTCTTGTCTGATCCCTGTTTGCAAGGGTAATACCTCTAGTCTTTCTCCATTGAGAATGATGTTGGCTCTTGGTTTTAAATATATATTTTTCACTATGTTGAGGAAGTACCCTTTTATTCTGTTTTGCTGAGTGTCTTAATTAGAAAGTGTTGGATTTTTTCAAAGACCTTTTCTGCGTCCTTGATAGGATCATGTGATTCTTGTTCTTTGCTTTGTTAATATGATGAGTTACATTTGTTGTTTTATGTTGAACCTTCCTTGCATACACTTGGTAATAATGAAGTTTATTTTTATGTGCTATTGAATTATATTGGCCAGAAGTTTGTTAAGGATTTTTGCATTCATGAGAGATACTGCTCCCTAATTTTATTTTTTGGTAATTTCTTTGCCTAGTTTTGGTATTAGGGTTATGCTTGCTTCATAGAATGACTTTGAGATTGCTCCTTCTTTTTCTATTTTTAAAAATAGTTTAAGTGAAATTGGTAGTAGATCATCTGGATGTTAGATAGAATTCAGTTGGGAAGCCATCTAGGTCGAGACTTCTTTTGTGAGGGAGTCTTTTTTATGACCTCAATTTCTTCCTTCATGATGGGTCTGTTTAAGTGTTCTATCATCTGTCCATGTCAGTCTGATAGGGAGTGAATTTCAAGGAATTTGTCCATTTCCACTAGTTTTTCAAATTTATCTCTTTGATGGAGG